TATAGAGTAAGTTCCAGGACAGCCAGGGCTACACAGAGAAACCCTGTCTTGAAAAACCAAAAAAAAAAAAAAATAAATAAAAGAAGTAACTTATTGATAGTGTGTATACAGTACACAGATAGTCCAACAGTAGCAAACAAAGGATATTACTCTCTTTTTTTTTTTTTTTTTGTTTTTTTTAGGATATTACTCTCAAATAACCAACTAGATTCAGAGAAGCCATCCCAGCAAAAGGAGTGCCACAGGCAGTGGAGAATGACACATGACATGGAGAGATAACTGGCCAGTGCCAGTAATCATACCCTGGGCCACTGCTTACTACTATGAGGCCTTAAGGGGAGATCCAAATCCTGCTGTAGCAAGCTAACTATTACCCTTTAGGGTTCCTGCCAAATCTCAAGGCCCATATATCTAATCTCGTAGGGTTCTAGACCTACAATGACTTCTTTTATAACAAAATCAATGCTTTTTACAAAAAATATTTCAAGGTTAAAAGGCTCATCACTCTGGCTGAGCAGTACAGAAAAATGAAGCTGGCTCCCAGGAGAGGCCCAGATTTTCTTTTCTTCCTCAGGAGACTTGCCCTGTAAAACTCATACAAAGGCTGGTCCACTTTCTCCAGTTTTGTACAACACTGAGGTACAATATAATTAGTTTTTCCGAGGATTTCTGAGTTTGAGGTCAGCCTGGTCTACAGAGTGAGTTCCAGGACAGCCAGGGCTATACAGAGAAAACCTGTCTCGAAAAACAAACAAACAAACAAAAATTGAGAATTAAGTTTTTCCTACCAGAAGCTTGGTGAAGATGTCCTCACCAGGGCTGTCTTCCTGAAGAGGGCAGATAGTATGGATGAAGGGTAGGAAGGAGTCTGTGTAGTCAAACAGGTACAGGTATAGCAAGCCAAGTCTTGGTGAGCTCTTGAGGGCATAGAGCAAGAACAGGGACCTGCCTGGGTTGACAGCCTGCAGAGACAAGACAGATATGGGACCATGTTATATATATTATGGCCAGCTTTCCACCTGCACTCCCTTCAATGTCCCATGACCTTTGCCACCAGTCTTTTGTGTGGTACAGAGCTCATTTGTTGAGGGATACTGTAAAAAGCTCCAGTCTTGCTGGGCACGGTTATACACATCTCTAATGTGCGCAAGAAGACTGAGAATCTGAGGCCAGCCTTGGTATCAGAACAAGTTCAAGGGTAAGCAACATAGCAAAAGAGCATCTCAAAACCCAAGAAGCTGGCTAGATGTGATAATGCACACCTTCAATCCCAGTTTCAGGAGATCTGATCCTTCTTCTGGCTTCTGAGAGCATTTGGCATACATGTGGTATACAGATATACAAGCAGGCCATACACCCAAACAACATTATAAACAAATGTATTAGGTTAGGCAAGATAACTTAGTGAATAAAGGCACCTGCTGCCGAACCTGATCACTTCAGTTTGATCCCTGGGACCCATATGGCAGAAGGAAAGATTTCCTTCCAATATTTGCAGACTGTAAGACTTCCACATATGTGCCATGGCAGTTGCATGTGTGTACACAGATCCAAGAGTAAATATGCATAATAAAAAATAAACAGTATTATAAGACACACTACAAGCTGGGCATGGTGTTGAACATCTATCATCCTGACACTTGTGGAGTAGAGGTAGGATTGTTCACGACTAGCAACGGTTTCATTGATATCAACTCGACCCTGGGATCATCACAAACAAACCACCAAACCACCACCACCACCACCACCATCAAAATTGTACAAGTTTTCAACTGAGGAACTCCAGACCCATTCTTCAAAACTTAGGGTTAATTTTGAAAAAGGTGAATTTTAGGAGTCAAGCATGATGCCTTTTCTCCCAGCACTTGGGAGGCAGAGGGAAGTGAATCTCTGTGAGTTCAAAGAAGCCAGTCTGATCTACATAGTGAGTTCTAGGACATCCAAGGCTACATGGTAAGACTCTGTCTCAAAAGAAAGAAATGAATAAAGAGTCAAGCATGGTGAGGAAGGCATGTAATCCTAGCAGATAGGAACCCAAGGAGGGAAGATGCAGAGTTCTAGGCATGTTTACACAACAGTGAGATTTTGCCTCAAGAAAAGATTTCTATTTGCCTATGTGCTGACTGATCGACCAACCAACTACCCACCCACCCACGCACCCATCCACCTAACCACTGTGCTAGCGACTGAACACGGACCCCTTGTGCATGCATGCTTAAGCTCTGTCACTAAGCTATCCCAGTGACCTTCTCTTATTAACAACACACAGTCACTTTTTCATTTTCAGTGGGTGTTTGCATATCTGTGTCAATTATTTGACCTGTTGGTAACGATGGGCACGCAGCGCTCTCTCTCTCTCTCTCTCTCTCTCTCTCTCTCTCTCTCTCTCTCTC